ACTGGTATTGCAAATGTTGTAGTCTGGCAATAAAATGCTCTTAGAAATGAGCACAGTGTAGCACAAGTCCTTTTTGTGTCTCAGCTATAATCCTTGTGCTGTGCTGTGGTATTGCTCCAGGTTTTCCTGTGATAGCCCATTAAACTGAGTAGTGGCAACTCTGCATTACAGAAGCAAATCTTCAAAGCAAGTTAGAGAGACTCTTAAATGTGCACATTTAAAAGTGACAGCTGCTCTCCAGCCTTCTTTTTATTCCTAGCAAAATAAGTGATACAAATCTTCCCCTTCTCATATTATGGAAGTAAGAGAATTTTCCTGATCTGTTTGGTGATCTTTCTTCATGCAGAAAGATAAATGCACTGATTTTATTGGTGCTACAGGGATTTACATTTATTTGTGAAAGAGAAGGATCAGGATCATAAATGATCTGTTCCGGTAATAAGCACCAACGATTCGTTTCTCTGGTTTGTGATTATTTATTTCTCTCCCATTTCAGCTCAGATTTTTCAAGGCTTTTCAGAAAGACTGAATTCAGCATATCTGAGAGTTGTCAGCTCTGCAGACTGCAGTCTCCTGTTTACTTTACACACAGAATAAGTGCCACCAAGGCAGCAATGCAAGCTCACCGTCTTTCAGCAGCTCTGCAATCTGCTTGCTTCTCCACTTATGTGGAGGTAGTACACAAACAGTTCAGTTTTCACCATCATTTACTTGTTGGCTCCTTTGCAGAGGAAGGGTGCCAGTTACTAGATGCAAACTGTTGCCGAGAAAGGGTGCCAATTGCTACCAGGCACAGCAATTTTGTGAAATCCATAGTTGTCTGCAAGGAGAAACACAAACATCAACAACCACTTTGCAGAGTAAACAGCCCTCTTGTAAAATCCCTGTTACACTGCTGAACAGGGTTTACTACACATTAAAAACTCTGCAGACTCCCCTTATGGTGTCCAAAATTTGGGTATGGGAAACTTTGCAGGTTACAATGTGTTGTCATCTGTTAAAGGAGCTGGATTTCTTGAGGAGACTCAATGTCATAGTGTCACTCATTAATGAATGGCTAAAGAAGAGATTGTTCTGTTGACAGAATCCTGCTGCTCCTCTCATGGGCAACATCCCAAGGTAAAGGAGGATCCCCTGGCATGGCCCAGTGTGTGCAGGCATGTGTATGGGGGACCAGGTCAAGCCTCCACTCCTGAGTCTGTACCTGGAAATGTGCTGGAAATGAACCAGCCCATTCCTGGAATGGGACTGCAGAACTCAGACACCCCTGAATTCCTATTAGTGTGTCAAAATTGGGCTTCCAAGAGGCAGATGGATGCATGAGTATGGTGGAGAGTGGATACAGGGCATCAAAACTTCCCATTGCATTGTGACTGAGTAAAAGGCAGTTTGCATTTGCACTGTCTCACCAGAGAAAGGGAAAACCTTTTCATAAAATAGTAAAATAATTAACTTCATCCATCCACATAGTTTTTGCTCACTGGCTCTGCAGTAACAATGGCAAGGGAGGAGGGGCCCAGAGCCAATTCCCATTTCTTTCCTCCCCACCTGCTTGGGACAGGAAGCTTCCTGCTATCAAATGATTTGCACATCTTTCTCGCAACAGCCACAGCCAGAGAATCAGGGAACAAATGTCACAAGACAGGGTCATGATCTAGAGAGTGAGAGAAGCATCAGGAGAACCCATTTGAACTGATCACCACACGAAAGGCAAGTCCTGGGATCCTCTTTCTAAATCTGTTTGCAGAGAATGGAAAAAATGATATTTCCATGGGGAAGGAATAAAGTGAATCCACGCTGATGACAGGTATTTGCCTTGTTTTGCCAGCAGCAAGTCCTCTTTCCAGAGGAGTGGCATTTGCACTAATCCCCCTTTGAGCCTGGAACAATTAGCCGATCTGTGCTTTTCAGAGACACGACACAGTGTGGAGCCTTTGCATTTATTTGTGTCAGCAAACAGCTATGTGGGTCCGTGCACCAGCACTCTTGAGATGTCACCCAGATTATGCTCTGTTTCCAATCTGGTAGTTGTTTTCCTTGGCTGCAGTGTGAGAGGGGACAGCACTGTCCACCCCTCTCCATGTGCTAATCACTGGCATGGTGTTGGCACATCACCTCTTTTAAGGGCCCATGTCAAAGCAGAGGTGAGCAAACTTTTGGTTCATGCTGAGGTCAGTCCTGAGCTCCCCAGCCCTCCCTTTGCATGCACAAAGTTTTAGTACCATTCAATGTTTTTACTTTACAAACGAAGAAAGCGACTGAATTGATAAATATTAACATAATGTGTATTGCCTTGGCAACGTGGCACTTGATACAAAAATTAAACATAAATTATGTAAACCACCCACGGTGGGAAGCTGTACAGGAGATAGACCTGCTGCCGTTGCCACCAGAAGAACAAATCATCTGGAATAAGGACAAAAGCAAACAGCCTGAAGTTAAAAAACATAAACCAAAGGCACCTTTCCCCAGACAGGTCTCTGCTGATTTTCAGGTGCTGTGTGCTGGAAGTGAGACTGTCACATCTCAAGAGAATTGTTCACCAGGGCTGTCATTGGTTGCTTGCAAAAACTCAGTGGATTCCCTAACACTCCTTTTGGGATCAGCCTGCACAACCAGATTCTTTGGAACAGTCTATTTCTCTTACTCATTTCCTCCCAGCTTATAAATTGAGATGACAAGCCTGAAAACCCACGTTGATGAACCAAATCGTTGTCTGAGCACATGTGCCTGATGCTCCCATTGAATATTTTGCCAGGATATATTAATCAGTTTTAATTAACATTAACTCATTGGATACTTGGTACAAGTGTGATTTCTGGGAAGAAGCCAGGACCACATTTCCTAGAGTTGGGTCTCTATGAAAGTGTTGCTAAGTCCTGGTACCACACAGAGGGATTAGTAAATAGAGAATTGGTGTAAGTTTGGCGTTTGCGTTATTTAACAATAATTTGCTCAACAATTAGAATATTCATCAGACCAGCTGAGAAACAGGGTCTGTTCTCTTACAGTGCACAGTTCTAGTGAATCTGAGTGCACAACCTTTCTGCATAAATGAACTTGAGATGTCACCTCAGATTGTGTTGCACTTTCAGCATGAAACAATTGTTTCTGTTGTTCCAGTGCTATAACCAATATCATGCCATTAAGATTACTTGGTACTAAGTTGTATGCACATTGCATTAAAAAAAAAAAAGACATTTTGTGGCTGAGTGCCTTAGTTGTGTGTACTGTGCCTTCCACATTGGCTTCTCTCCTGAATATTAAACAATTTCCAAAGATAAAAACTGCTGAAAAGCCTTAAAAAGTGTTACCTTTTGTCAGAGACATACCTGTAACTCTGTGGTTATTGGCCTATGAAGATCAGAGCTAATGTGTGACTAGAAATTGTGTGTAGTACCTTCCTATGCAGAGGGTATAGGTTTGGACATACATAATTTGATTTATTAAAGTTAGAATATATTTTAGATCACATGCCCTCCAAAGCAGGAAACTAGTAATTTGATTTTAAATTAATTTCCCAGAAACACACAACGACATTTGAAAAGACTGCTACAAACCTGACAGTCCAAAAGTATTTATACAGAGTGCAATTTGCTTAACCAACTGCTTCCTTTGTGTCATTTGGTCTTTCAGATAGTTACATTTGGAATAAAGTGTTTTTCTGCTCTGGGTACCTCTTGAGGGACTTCCTGCAGTGATGTGGCTTTAAAACTGAGGCAGGTAGTCTGGGGCTCCCTGGGGAAGGGAAATTTGCTTAATACCTGAATAACACTGAATGTCAGTCAAGCCGAGGGAAAGGAAAAAATAAAAAACGCTGGACAAGTGAAAGATAAATAGGTTTAAATAATTACTATTGAAATCTGGTTATGCTTGTAATTTCTTTCTCAGCATGGGAGTCCCTCTGTAAGCAATTCAGCAGAGCCCTTTGAATCCTGCTGGAGTTTTATTAATATTTCAGTAGCTGCGTTAGTAATGGCACGAACCGTGGTAGTGCTGCGATGATCTGTGGAGTTTTCAGTGAAATCCCTGCCTTAGGTGGATCAATAAAGGCACACAAACAGAGCACCTGGGCCTCCAGAGGGAGGGACCAACCCTGCAAACATCCTTTCCTGTGCCATTAGTCCTGGGAGAAGTTCTGGAGAGCTCAGCAGCAATAATCACCGCCCCAGGAAGAAGCGGCTGGATTTAATGGCACTACGCATACCAGCGAGCACAAGGTCTAGTCAAATGTGTTTACTGAGAGAAAAAATTACTGCTGTGCTTCCAGAGTCCATCCCCTTTCAGGGAAGTGCTTCAGAGTGTGCTTTCCTTTCAGCCTGTGGTTGAGCCCCCTGTGCTGCAGTGGGTGCAAAGTGGCTTTAAGTGTTTTGCTGAATAGGAGCCTCGTACATTTGCGTGTTTACCTGCAGCTTTTCCATATCTATTTTCAGATATCTTTTATCATTTCCAGTGAACTTTGCATTTTCTTCCCCTTGCAATGTGTGTCTTTTTTTCTCTGGGTGTGGGGATTTTTCACCATGTTTCAAGCTGGTTTGTAGAACAATACTGGGTTTTGCCCTTGTGCCTTTCTCCAGCTTTTACTCAAATCATTGAGTGTCACCACCTGATTGTGAATTTTCAGAGTACACCCCTTGGTTATTTGGCAGCCATCTCTCTCGGCACCTCAGGTCACTGGAGGAAGTTTGTGTCTCAAAACCAGGCTCAATATGGAGATGGCAAGGGAATTTCATCCCACCTCAGCAACAAAACTCAGAAAAAAAGATGGTATATTTGCATATCCATTTTCTACAGCCAGATACCTTGGCATATCCAAGTCGCCAAAGCTCAAAATTTGCACCACAGGCTTGTGTTATCTCATATCTTGCCATTTGCTTTAAGATGTCACACCCTGATGAGAATACTCCAGGCTGTTTTCTCTTCTAGCTGGAGAGTTCTCCTTAAGAAATAAGCATGCTATCAAAGAGAAAGAAAATAAACCCATCTAGGATTATTTCCAGCAGGAAAAGCAGCTGCAGCTGAGGGGGCAGCGATGCCAAAGCCCAGGAGTCCGGAGTCAGAACTCTGAGATTTATGAAGAGTTAAGTGAGTTGCACGTGGATAAGCAGTTGAAGGCTGAGCCACCACCTCCAGTAGGGCAAAAAGAGGTAACACAAACGACTTTCCTACCTGAATACTGCATGAAATTCATTGCACCAGCTCTGTAGTGCATGCCACTGGTTTATGTGGGGCTTATGGCTTGTAAAAATACATGTTTGTCAAGGGGTAGGAAAGCAATAGTGTGTAATAGGTATTACAGTCCTAGTAAAAAAGAGAGAGGATTTTGTCATTATAAAAATAATTGGAAAGCTTGGAAAACATGCATTGTTAATTATTATGGAATTTTAAGAGGCTTTTGGGGAAAAAAAAAAAAAAACCAAACCACAAAATCATCTATAAAGTCACTGTCTTATTTTAGGAGAAAATATGTGTGTGATTTCCCACTGAAAAGCAGCTCTAGGAATGGCATCTGCTGACTTGGCAGACCTGAATGTTGAGTTCACTGGAGGGCATCTGCTCTCTGTCACAGAATAACATTTCTTTTCCTGTTAACACACACCCAAGAAAGGTGCAGCAATTTAAGTAGCTGATGGGAAGGTACTAACTAAAGAGCAAGCCTTGGTATTATTTAGTTGATTTGGCCAAAGTGCAGCTCATTAATTGTTTCTCGATGTGTACATATTGACATTTATTTTCAAGTTGTAGGATGATGTTGTCCTCATAACCATAAATATCAAAAATAATGTGTTTGTACTGTACACTGATTGACTCCAGGCTGTGTAATTGCATGTATTCTCCTTGCTGACTTGTTGGGGGTTCTTCCCCTTCAGATTTAGTATTTTATGGACATAACATTGCCTTTATTATTAGAGAGTGAAGGATTCCTCTCTTTGAAATCAGGAAATAGAGGTTTGGAATGTCCTGGGAGTTTGGAGAACTCCACAGCTGCTTGAGGCTGGAACCAGGGATTGTTGTGTGGGATGAAAATTGATGAAAGGGAAAGGATGGCACAGCACTCACACACATCACACCTTTCCCAGCTCTGCTGTAAAATTGCTGCAAGTTTGTGCCCAGCAGGAGCAATCCCATGAAGAAATCTTGACAGGACAACAGGAAACAGACCCATCCCAGAGCCAGGGCTCCCCTTCTCCAAGCCTGCTGATTCTTGTTGTCATATGGGTGGAATTTACTGAACTAAATGTAGACAATCTGCATCTGGACTTGTCATCTGAGGCCTCTGTTTAGACAATGTAGGCAGGTAAATATGTCTCGACCTGAAATCAGCATTTACATTAGGTCAGATCTCATAAAAGTGCCCATTTCTCTCCATTAACTATAAAGGGAGCACTTAGGTTGCACATTTAGGTGAGATAAATTCCACTCACAGGAACCAGAAATCCTCCAGCCGTGAAGCCTTTCTTTAAAGGGCAATCCTTGCCAGAGTACATCTTGGCATATTCATGTTCAGAAAGAAAACATCTTGCATTTAGAGGAAGGAGACTCAAATATTTGATATCCTGGTATCAGGGGAAAAAAATGTATATTTAACAAAGAAATACAAACAATGTAAAGAAGCATTATAACTAGGAGGAATTAGAAGACCACGTCAGGCATTTTTCTCTCAGGGGATTAGGTATCCTTCATGTTTAAATATCTTTTCAAGACAAATAGACCCTGTGATCCCAACCAGGGAGGCCAGAAAACTATGTCCTTTTTTAGTGCCACAACAAAATGTCATGATAAGTCAGGAACATCCTAGCCTCGATATATTCAGCAACATCGTGATAAAGAAATAATCCCCATTTCCTCCCTCCGCTTTCAAAGGGTCCTGCGACACAAATGCCACCTCTCTATAGCAGAGTATAATTGACTCTATTTGCAGCTGCTTAGAGAGAGGTGGAGGAACATGGCAGTAATCCAGGGATGAGTTGAAATCGAGCGGAAGTTCACGCGAGGCTACGAATGCCAACACAAAAGAGCAGAGCCCAAAGGACGCTATTTTGGAAGGTCTCGTGTGGACATCACATACCCACTGTCCCCCTGAGCAGAAGCAATCTTGCTGCCAGCACGCCAGGACACGCTCGTCACGTTTTTTGATGAATGTCCCAAGAATTTGCAAGCGGCCAAATAAAGCCAACAACTGCAAGGGAGTGACAGATTTGGTATGGCCAAGAGGCTTCCAGTGATTGTCAGTAACAGGAAACGCTGGATGTGTTCCGAGTAAAGCTCTGGTGGTGTCAGTAAAGGGTCCATTAAATGATTAAAAATTCATTCTGTATCAATCATCAGAAAGGCACCGTAGAAGTAAAATGATTGGTGTCATCGGGTGGAGAAGACTTGGGAGTACAGACTGGTTGCTTTCTCTGCCAAAATGCTGACCCATAAAATATTCACACAACTTTGTGGAATCTGGCTTTAAATGGATTTCTGGCTTTAAGCTTGGATTTCTTCATTTACCAAAAGGAATAATTCACTTGCTAAAAAGAAATATTTCATGCCTGGGTATATTTCCTTAAATACCAGCCTTTTCTCACCATTTTTTTCCCTTTCAAAGTGCCATTTCATTAGAGTCTTTTACCAGTTTTATCCATTAGTCTCTTTGTATGAATTAATATCACTTACTTTAATAGACTGTTGTTGGCTTCCTATTGTCTGGGGTTTACCCCCTGAAGTCATGCACCATTGTTCTTTAATTTCTTTTTTTTTTTTTGTAAATTAATATCTCTGAGCCACGTATCTGACTTTTTTTACCTCTTTCTTTGCAACTCCCTCAACTGTTCCTTTTCTGAGTTCTTTTGCCAAGGAAGAAGTGCAATGTTGAAATACAATTTCTACAGAACTCTAAAAGAAAAATAATATCTCATTATCTAGATATGATGCTTTCATATGGTTTTCCACATCATTACATCCCACTGCAAAATCACATCTATTTTTTTTAATATTACTTCAGGTTTCCAAAATGTTCATTGAAATTTTCCTGCAACTTTCCCATTTGTACTTTATTAAATCATGTCCTATTTTGCTATATTCTCTCCACGTTTTCCTTCTCTTTTCCCCTCTGCTTCCTCGATTTCAATACTGTCTCCAATTTAATATTATCAGCTAACATGAGGATTATATCGGTCAGGACCTCTTCTGTATCTTTACTGAAGATAATGCTGACCCTAATCCCTGCAGATTTCCTCCTCTGAAGAGAAAGTTTGTGCTATATTTGGGTCTTTAGAATGGCTTTTCTCCACACAGCAATAGGTGAACCTGAGCCAATTACAATTTATTTTAAAAGTAGGCTTTTCTGTAACAGACATCCAACTGTTTTCTTGAGGTTTATACATCATATGTCAATTTGATAGATTAAGGCTCTGATTTTCAGAGGTGAGGCAGAGAAGAAGGGAGGTAAGAGGGCTAAGCCTTGAGCAAACATCAACTTTCGATGAGATTTCAGCCTCTCACTGCAAAAGACTTTTGGAAAAACACTTTCAGATCAATTTTCTGCCATTACAGGCACAAGCAGTGGGTGTGGAAGCCCAGTCCAGGGACTTAAAACGGTCACTCCATCAGCAAACACTTGAAAAACTGACTTCTGCAGCATGAATTTATGCACCAGGGGAACATCTTCCAAAGGGGTCTCTGACAGATCCCTTGCCTCTGCCTGGGGCACTTCTTCCACTCACCTATTCCAAGGAAGAAGGAGGAGGTTCTGTATTTGTCCTTTTTGCCTTCTTTTAAGCTCTTTTCACCCTGTTTGTGCAGAGTTCTCTTAGCACACAGAACCACCTCACTGCCTTATGACTTTTCACTCTGAGTAAACTCCCTCCTTTTCTCTGTCTTTATTTAATTTACTTTAATCACAGGCTAAAGCAAGTGTTTAGTGATCTGTGATTCCCATGATTATTCCCTTTTCCTCCTCCCTCAGCTCAGTGTTGTGTTTACTTATTGCTGCTCTCCTGGGCCGTTTCCAGTTTTCCATGAGCATTCACTATTGATTGCTAATGATGTGTTAACTGGGTGTATTGGATCCCTTTATTCTCTGCAGCGTGCCTTGCCTGGGTCTGCTGGTTTGTATTTGTGTATATATAGGCTCTCTGGCTATTTCTCTACTTACATTTATATTAATTCTAATTGGCTCTCCTCCTTTTTGTTATTGATCCCCTTGTTGGATGATTTTAAGAAGTGTTTATTTTCTTAGACAACTGAATTTTGATTATCTACATTTCCCTCATCAATTGCTCTTGTGTCCCTGACTCTTCCCTGAGTTCATGAAAACCCTCTCAATCCCTTTAACCTTTCTGGCAAAGAGAAAACTTTGCTTCCTTCCCAGAATCATCCCTAATCTTTTCCTTCTCTCTCATATGTCTGGTTCCATTTTCTGGTCCCTGTTCAGACCCTCAAACCTTAATCTACAGTTTTCTGAACCCATATTCATTGCCTCTTCTTTTTGAAGTCTTTTCAGAAAAAACCTGTCTGTTTACCTTGCATGTTCCCACCTCCCTTTGACACTGATGGATTCTAAATTTCCTGGAAACTCCTCCTGATAAATAACTAAATAGTCTATGATAATTTAATTGTATTTTTCCTGTGAATTTCCTAACCTGTCTCTGCTAAATCCTGCTTTCTAGTTGAAAATGTTATCGAGCTGACATTGCTCTCACAATTTTCTTTGATTTCTGGCTATTGGTAAGAATTATACCAAACAAAGCTTGTCTTCTCATTGGAACCCCTATTTTCTACATCCTACAGCTGCATATGATTTAGGACTATTTCAGTGATCTCTGTTTTGACATCCTCATAACAGAACACATAATGACTAAATGCATTCCCTGATGAACAGCATCATGAAGTTCTGACTGTGCTAGAACTTGCTATGACATTTTTTCCCACCATCTTCCACTGTTGTGAGTCCGTAGGAAATGGGCTCTATACGACAGCTGCATTCTGAATATGGCTTTTCAGAAGCTTTATCTGTATCTTGGACCTGTTCTGTTCTTCCTGTTCCCTCTTTTTAAAAGGTCTCTTCTCAATTGTTTGCAGTTCTTTTGCGTGCAGCATTAAAAACCCTAGCCAAGACTATGACCTTCTGGATGCTGCAGCTAATTGCAAACAAGTAGCTTCCACCCCCGCTTGCAAGCGCTGCTGGAATGTTCAGTCTTGCCCATTTTACCCCAGGTTCAGCATTTCTCTGAATTCAGCCATAAATTTTGCATTGACTGTGTATGCTGGAAAACAGAGGACCCATTTTCATATTAATAATAAATGTATAAAGCTGTGCCTAGTCTCTTACTCCATCACCATCACACTTATGAAAATAATACTTTATCTGTACGTGCCATCTCTCATATCTCAACTATCTCACAGGCTGTTTAAAAGCGTGGGTAAGTATTATTGCCCTCATTTTTTTTAAAATGAAGGCAATAGTATTGCAAGATAAAGCACAAAAACTTTTAAGTGGGAACTCAGAGAACAGAGCAAACCAGTTCACACATGACACACCTCTCCTGCTAGAGCTATTTTCCATTGCCATGACCCATAGAAGATACCAGCTTTGGTATTGCCCACTTACACCAGATAATGATCTAATATATCCAGAAACAAACTGTGAGCAGGATTGGGCAAATATCAGGTCTTTCACTTTAGTGGCCAAGCTATTCAGCTTGGAAAATTTAAAGGTAAATCAAGTTAAATTTAATTTTGGATTAACACAAAATAGAAATCCTTTATTTTAGCTAGCAAAATAAAATAAGGGGAAGACATTTCCTCTTTTCTTCTAAAAAAAGTGTCTTGGTTCTGTTTAAGGAAAGCTTAACCTGAAATGAAATTTCTATTTCATATTTGGGTGACTTACTGAATCTTGTATCATATGTCTTTTAATCATGAGTTCAGCCTTCAAAACAGATTTTGAAAATAATATATTCCCCTGAATTTTTTTTACCCACATCTGCTTGAGAGTTCCTGCTCTAGATAGATGAGACAACCAATGCTTCAGGGAGTGGGAATATTCCTGCCCCATTTTGCAGAGGAGGACCTGAGAAACGCTGAATTTAAACAATGCACCTAAGATGATGGTGTCAAATATTTCAGGCAAGTGGTAGAGCCCTTGAGACACTTCCAAAAGCCATGTGCCCCTCCTCCTGCATCACCTGGAGATCAGAATGGTGACAGAAAGGCAAGGGGCCGTGTCATGTGCTGAGAACAAGTCAGGATGAGACAGGGGGAAGAGCCCTCTCAACATATTTGTACTTTAGCTTCGTGTGGCTGGATGCTGGGGGAGAGGCTGACAGCAGGAGCAGAGCATGGTCCTGAGTGAGCAGGTGCAGGTTTCACTCACCAGCTGTGGGTAATGAATCTCAGGAATGAGGCCCAAAAGACAGGAACCGGAGGCAAGTCATCCAGTTCATCCTTCAGCATTTCAGGAGATAGGTCCCACTTGTGGTACCCCCCACCCAAAGGTACGAGCCTTTAAAATCTCAAACAGATGAAGTCCATCATTCCTGTCCCACTTCAGGTACCCCCCATCCAAAGGTAGGAGCCTTCAGGATGTCAAGCAGACAGAGTTCATCATTCCAAGGTTCCACCTACCATAAACCAGAGCAACCTGCTCTAGTGGAAGGTGTCCCTGCCCATGGCTGGGGGGCTGGAACTGGATGATCTTGAAGGTCCCTTCCAACCCAAACCATTCTAAGATTCTGTGATTAATATTCAATAGCTGTCCACTCTCTTTGTGTGGTTTGCTTCTCTGTTGTTTCAAAAAGTAAGTTCTGTGTGTTAAGTTCTTGCTGTTGATGGGTCAGTCCCTGGTCTCAGGGTAGGCAGAGCTGTCACCAAGGGGTGGCACCTGGGGGAGTGCATGGCAATGTCTCTGTTGTGGTGGCTTCAGCTGGGGTGCTGGTTAGTGGAATGACAACCCAGCTACTTCCTTCAGGGCAACTGATCAATCTGTTTTCCACATCTTTGCTCTTGTTGACAACAAGCTTGATGAAATCAGTCTTTCTGAAGGCAGCACAGTGGATTTGACAAATCCTGCAGAACTGCTGGAGCAGATCCCCGAGTTTGCTGAGGAGCTGATGGAGCCTGAGGATTGCTTCCCTGAAGGTAAGAGCCTGCATGTTTCACTGCAACGCTGGGGCAAGAAACTTTCTTTCCCCTTACTGAACATCTCCCAGCCTTCTCACCATGTTGCTGTGGTTGCTTGCAGTAGCATTTCACTGGCTGCACTTAGTTTCTTAGGCACTATAATGCTCCAAACACACACTCAAAATCCTTTGTTACCATTAGTCTTTGGATTTCCAAGCTGAGATAAGCCAAGAGCATGCTCTAAAATGCTCTGCAGCTTCTAAAGTCTTAGGCTTTTAAAATTATAATTTGTGACATAAAGAGTTGTTTGTTTCCTTGCTTGTTTTTTAAATGCTGATTTTTGTCATTTGGCCAGTGAAGATTTTTGCCTTCCAATATGTGTGCATGATCAAATTTGGTAAAGAACTGGCCAGATCAGAATGTTTCCCTTGCTTAAATGTATCCAGGCAGTTCATAGATCCTGTCTGGAGGGTTCATGAGTCTCAAGGACTCTCTTCCATTTATTTTAAAGGGTGTCAAGATTAGCACATCCAGTAACTTCCATCTAGTCAGAGAACTGCTATGTAAAGGGCATTTAACATAATTATCTTAGATAACAACAGACCACATTTACATATCTCTTTTAATACCATATTCACCATAATTTTATTAATATTTTTGACACCAGCCTGCTCCAAAACACAGATGTAAAACCCAGCTACATCAGAAGATCTATGTTAAAATAAATATATAAAGTAAATAGCATTCCAAGTTATTTCTTCTCAGAGTGAGTTCAATTCCAAATATTATCTTAGTAAAATTTTTTGTTTTCCTATAAATCTGGGTTGGGAAAAACAGGGTTAGCTGAATGTACGAATAGTCCCTTGAAAATTCAAGCATTATTATAAACAAAAACAGAGCAGCTCAGATGGGAACAGACAGAGATGATTTGCTGGGTACATGAATGCCCCTAAAGTCAGCAAAAATGTGCATCTCTATATCTGTGAGAAAGATGATTGAATGAGGTAAGGGAGCCCTGCAGGGCTTACAAATGTCCCTTGGATCTAAACATTTTTTTGGCAGCTCTGCTTAAAAGCAATAGCCAAAAATTAATGCAGCTGACGGAAGAGAGCATGGTGTAATTATTCAGGCCCATGCAATAACATTTTGAAATTAGATCTGGTGTTTTCATTCTTTCACAATATATTTCTTAATGGGGCTAGTGAGCAGCTATCTCTGTTGTGCCCTGCAAAGTGATTATGTTATAGATGCTTAAACAAGCCAGTGCTGTGAGATCAGTGCTGTTCAGATGCCAGTTTACAAATTCTGAAACTGTTTGGCCACGACCACCATCCAGTTTTTTAAAAGAAACGAGGCAGATACCACACAACACTCTGTAATTTGATCTCTCTTAAAATAACCAGACCTTCCTGAACACCATGGTGCAGTGGAACCAGTTTGTCATATCTCCCCCAGTGCTATCTGTGGGATGCAGGGTAGCAAGCAGGGCTCTTCCAGATGGATCACTGGAAGTATTTAACCAGATTTGAAGCCTGCTGATCAACCTGGCAGCAGAGAAATGCTAAAATGAAGGCATTGCTGGGTTACTTCCACCCAGGTTCTGGCACCCTTCCTCCTGAGCACCCCTGGTCCTGCATTTTGTTTTTGCTCCTAATCTCTCTTAGTTCCTCACCAGTGCCTGTGCAAGTCAAGGTGTTTTTCTCTTGTCCCAGGATGCAGCCAGCTGAGCCTTGAGCTCTAAATGGGAATTGAAGGAGAGCCTGCTCTCCTGTCCAGGGACAGCTGCAGGTGCAGGGGACATCCTTCTCAAGACATCTACTCTCCTGTGCAGCACATTTTTCAGACTTTACTCTTTTGGCTAAACATGATCACATTGCTCATGGATTTGGCAAAAATACACGAACACAGTGTGATTATTTGCTCATAAAATTTCCAGTGAAATTGCATAAACTGAAAGTCCAAATGATTCTTACAGCAATGACATTAACATTAGGCTTAATTTATGCAGAGAAACAAAGTGTTTTCCTGTAATCAACTGCTATTAAATATTTCCAATATTTTTGCCCAAACTTACTATTGCAATTAAACTTCATGCAGCTGTCACTTCACTCTAGTTAAAAACCAAGTAAGCCAACTAACAGCAGTTTAATTAGTTGAGATGACAAGACTTTAAACTACAAAAATTAAAATATTGAAGGGAACGCACTGGGCAGGTTTATCTAGTGCTGCCTTTACTCATTTTTTATAAAGAGATACAGCAATATTTGGTACATTTGGGAGTATGAAAGTTAATATTTGTGAAAGAAGGAGATTATGTGAAAAAGGAGAGGGAGAGGGGAAGGGTTAATTTCTCAACTTCTTTAGCTATCTAAATTCAAACTATGACATTTCTCAACGCATCCAGCATAGGTTACGTCCTGAACAAATATGTTCCAGATTCAGGCCCCTTTTTTTCAGATAACAAAGGCAACAAAGATAATGCATGTTCTTGAAATAGTTGCTGAAAGTTTGCTGAGGTCACAGTTTTCCGGGAGTTGGGTGACCCAGATAAGCCATAGGTCGTTTTTCTTGGGGAGACTTGTTAATGTGTTATCATCTCAAAATAGCTTTGATTAGGGTCAACAGGGAACATTCTTGGGTCAGGAAATGTGAAGGCAAGGTAGGGTCACAGCCCTGGCAGCGAGCAAGTATTGCTGGGAAGAACCTGACAGAAATGGAGAGACCATTTCTGGTTGATGGGAAAGGAACATTTATCCAATGCCAGCTATTTGGGTACTTTTTCCTCCAGATGCCTTGCAGCACTCCAGTCTCGTTACCTCCATCGGTATGTGTTCTCTGCAGCAAAATTTACTCCCTCTTTGGACATTATCTTCTGTGTCTCACAGAAGGTCATCCAAAGAGAGCCCTCGGCCCACGGCGCTCTCCTCTCTCCCAGACCCTAATAGGGGAAAGATTCCACCAAGTCCTTTAGGCGTAATTCCCCGCTGGCAGAGGTTTCAGGGGAATATCTCCAGAGGGTCATGAGGGAATGAGCAGCCTCGCTCAACGCGGGGTTGGTCGCAGCTCGTGACACCAAGGACACCCAGAACCTTTCCATGGTCACTTTTTTTCCATGTGACCACAGGGTAGGAGCCACTATCGCTCCAAAAACGCCCAAATGTCAGCTGGAAAATGCCGCGTGCCCGAGTGAAGTTGCCCTGATTAGTGGTGGGATCTGTGTCCTGCCCTTCCCAACCGCGGATAGCGGCTGTTTAGAAGCAAAAAAAGGAAGAGAAGAAAAATATAGACCATTAAACGGAATAGTTCTGAACAGAGTTACAGGGGCTGCCACTGGATGAGTTTTAAAGGCTGAGTAAAACCAAGCCAAACTCAACAAAATGTACTCATTGGCACCCTAAGAAAAAAATCATAGAACAAACCCAAGTTTTAAAGTATCGCTTTCCTCTGGCTGTCATACCTGAGATGCTCTGTGTTTTTCCACGAGGAACAGCGTGCTAGCATTATGTTGTGTACAATTTTCAGGCATCATGACACTCTTACAGCACTATTATGCATTCAGAGTTAAATTAATACAGGTTGGACAGGACCTCTAGATTTAAAATTCACCCACTCCCTCACTCAGAGCACGGATGACATCAGTGGTAGGCCAGGCTGCCCACTGCCTTTGCTCCAAGGCATCACACTCCTTGATGATGTGTTTTGAGGAGAGTAGCAGAAGATAAACAAGAAATGTACCTTTGTTAAGCCCTTGGAAGGGTAATAACACCGAGCCGTGGTTTTGTCAGATGCCCTTTTGGCAGCCCCCAGTTGTAGCACAAAAGTAAAATCTCAGCTCTCCTGATGTGTCTCAGGTACCCAAACGCTGGAGACAGTGATTGTTAATCTCTCTTTCCCACTATAAAACCCAGCTGTGCATGGGTTTTATAGTGGGAAAGAGAGATTTATGGAATGGTTCAGGTTGCAAGGGATCTTAAACGGCATCCCATTCCAATTCCCCTGAGTGAGTTACTAGTGGGGCCAGAAGGAAGTCTCATTCATAATTGTGTGTTAAAAAGAATACAATAGATGTTGCATCACATAAATTGGCAATGATTGCTCTTTTTACAACGGATTATGAGAAAAATTAATCTTAATATTCTGTATTTTCATTTTTCTCTATTTATCATGGTTCAGAGATAGCAGACATTATTTTATCAAGGCATAATATTCTAAATTACCTACAAATTAATAACTACTTTTATTCTAGTAAATCTGCTGGGTTTATGGTTTTGGGGCATATTTGACCCTACCTGTCCAACCCCCCTTTGGATGATGAGTTGCTCGCCTGTCAGTTTTGCTGAAGACAGGGCATGCTCAACCTGCTATTATACAGCTTTATAGGAAAGGGATTAAATAAGAAGAGGAAAGGGTTAAATAAGAAGAGTCTGCTGAGATCATGTTCCCTCCAGCATGAGGAGACAGTTGGGGGTACAGTTGGGTTTGCTCTCTTATTTGTGCATACCCAGGTAGCCAGACTGGTCGTTAGAAACCCAGCTTGGCATATATATATATATATAAAACATAAAACCTATGTTATGAATATCTGCCTGCTTGAGTTCATGCCTAGGAAGCTGTGTTTTGTGTCAAACCAAGCAATGCTGTAACCAGCGTTCAAAGCTAAGAAAAATACTGTTTTGTTCTAAAAATGAATGTCCCAATAATTGAGAACCCTTGTGTAAAGGCACTCGCAAAATTGCTGTGGTTTGAACACAAGGTACCACATTTGCTGGACAACAGAATGGGAAAAATGAATTGGTGTTCCTGGTTTATTGAGAGAACCAGCAGCTCAATCCATCCAAGGCAAAAATAATAATTTTATGAAAATTTAAGTATATATATTGGTGAGAACAAGCAGTGGATTTGTAAATTCTTTGCCCAAAAGCCTAAAATCGATCAATAGGCTTGGCTGTCAGGCATTGAGAAGGAAGGTTTTGTAGTATAACTCTCACATTTACAAAGAGATTTTTTTTTCCCCAGTGCAGCAAGGTAATGCAATCAAATCTAAGAGCTCCATGATTAGAGTGCACCAGACTAGACAACGTGAATATGGAACAAAAGGAATATTTACACAGAATGCATTGTATATTAAATTCCTTCTCCTTTTTTTTTTTTAAGATATATTTTAATCTTCAGTTTGTGCTATAGGACGCCCTAATGACTGAAGGGACTATTTCCCTTGTTATGAAATGTGACTGAAAAGTAAATAATGTCATGGTGTATTAATGCATTTGGAAAGGCTTCTTGGTAAATAGGCCTCTGTTTTATGAAAAATGGTATGAAATATCAGAATGTCAATTAAAAACAGACATTGTTCTTGGACAACTTGGCCACAGATGCAGCTCTGAACAGCTTCACAGATTTACCAGTAAATAATTCAACCTTTTGAGGGGACTTTTTCCACTGTTCTGTGTTCTGGTGAGCAGTAATCTACCAACCAAAAGACCATGGTGGAAATGAGTCAGTTTGCTCTCAAAAACGATGCAGCCCAACATGAATTACAGTGGCAAACCAAGCCCTGGCAACATCACAAGGTGGTCAGAGTCTTCTGCACAGCCAATTCCCTCCCAGCACTGATTTCAGGGGTATAGCACAAATCTGTTGGGCCAGGCAAGATGAGTGACTGTCATAAGAAATGCCAGGGGTTTTATTCCTGCCCTGACACTTGCTGTGATAAAAGGCGTTAATGAATGTTCTCCTTCGTGTGGATAAAATGCACCAAAGCTGGGTTTTACTGACCACCTGCTTTATTATAGGAACAGCTGGAGTTAGGATGGCTCAGCCCCTCTCCAGGTCATGCCTTAGATGCATCAAAATTATTTTGATATTTTGATTTCACAGAAATGGGGAAAAAAATAAACCAACAAAGTGTTTGACTACAGACCAAGGTCAAGTAAACTTTTTCTGTTTGGTTAAGTGAAGTTTCCAGCTCAACAGCAAGCTTAGGTCAAAATGACCAGAGCAGTAGGTTACCAGCATTAGAAAGAGTCCAGAAGGCGTGAAAGAACAGCCAGAAAGGAAAATCACAAAATTTAAATAGAAACAGGTTTCTACTAATTCATTAAAAGACCTGTTTGGGGTCAGGGATTTTTTTTCTTCTTTCCCTTTTCTCTTTGTGAGTAGTTAAAAGCAGCATTTCATCTGAATTGCAGACAGCACAATTATTCACGGAAATACTGCTTGACATTAGCAATTGTAGCAGAATCTGGTCTAAACATTTCTGAAATGGGCCCAATCAAAAGCATGGGATTTAATAGCACTGTGATTTTAGGCTGACTCATCTGATAAGCTATTTTGGATTTTTCAAGGTATTACTGTCAGTAACTAGGACTCTTTTTTCAGATTGAAATTGCATGAAAGCAATCAAAGAGCATTAAAAAAAAATAAAATTAGTGGTGCTACCTGGCTTTCTGTCTTTAAAAATACCTCTTTGTACTTGTAGACTATCAGATGGAAGCCAACTGAATCAGTAATAACCTGGCTTAACTGTGTTGTAAGTATTTCCCATCACAAATGAAGGGACTTTGGAAGCCACAGTGCCCTGCTCATTAGTGTCTAATATGAAGGTGATCCCTAATTTTAGCTGTGCTTGGGCTCAGGTAATCATGTGGGCTCCCTGTGTAGTGGAACTCCTCCAGGGAATGATTCATCCAATTTTCTTACAGTGGGGAAAACCATTTCCTGGGAGATTCTAACCTTTTCCAACAGTATTTACAGAGCATTTATACTCTGTAGGAGCATGGCAGAGCATGTCATGCCTGTTATTGGCTGGGCCTAAGAGATAAAAAAGCCAAGTAACCATCTAGGTAGAAACTTATGAGAAAAGAGTGAAGTGTTTCTGTATAAATGTTTTAAGTAAGAAAAAAAGCTGATTTTTTTTTCCAAATTGAAATTAGTTTTGGGAAGGAGATAGATGCAAGGACAGATGCAAGCAGTGGCTACTTCCATTACAAGGGGGGATTTCTGCTTGACACAAAAAATCCACACTTGAGTCAACAACCTGCTCGTTAAGCTGTTCATTTGATAAGTGAGGGATTTCTGCCCAAGCCTTTGATCTTCCTTATTCAAAGCTGGTGTGACAATGAGGTGGGCAATCTCCCTGAATTATAAACCCATAGAGTGAGCCAGACACCTGAAAGTGGTGATGACCATGTGGGCTGTGGGGTGAGAAGCAGTGCAAGGGTTTTCTGGTGCAGCTGATGGTGCCCTCGGTCGTGTTGTGCTGGTGGGATTCTCCTGGTGGGCCTCTCTCAGCAGAGAATCTGCTTTGTGAAGTCTGTTCTGTGTACCTACTTCCTAAAATACACCCAAACCCACATGCAATGCCAGCTGTGAGCATTGTACTGGTTTTAACAAAAAAGTAGTGACTAATATGATGTCCTTTTATCGCTTGCCTTGATTCTTTAGTGTTTGGGATTGAAGTGCTTAGAAGGATAATTCTTGCCTTTGCTGAAGTGGTACCTGACCTACAAAGGGACAGAGAGCTGCTTCTTACATTTCCATCTTTTCCAAGTATTATGCCTTTCTAAAAAGTTTGGAAATTTTAGTGTATTCCAACTGAGCCCAGAATTTCTTTGAGTTCCAGAATGTGGTGGTAAACTGGGAGATGCTGTGGGTCTGTGTGATGCAGGCACTTAGAGAACAAGTACTTATGTGCTATGATTACCTTTACATAAATAATGTAATTATTTAATAATAATTAATGGTTTATTGTCCTTATAATAAGGTTAACCATTAAAACCTTATAACGATTTACTGTCCTTTTAGTCCCACACCAAAAGCTAGCACAGCCAAGAACCCGCACTTAACCAAAATCTCAGAAATGTGAGGGGAAAAGTTCTGGGGGTAGATCCTCTGTGAGGGATCCTACAGTTCTGCTGCTGCATAGGAGGGGTCTGGGACAATAAAAACTTACAGAAAATGTCAGGAGCACCAGAGCAGACTCAGCAACTCTCTTCCTCCTGGCAGAGCCCAGTGCCAGCACAGCCCCATTTCCAGCTGCCTGGGAATCCCAAAATCCCAGGAGCTGCACTTGATCTCCTCCCGTATCACAGCAGCTCAGGTGCCTCAGCTGGGCCACCCTGAATTAGCAGCATCTGCTCTCGCTGTAACCTTGGCACTCGCCCTCTTTCCTCCCCAAGCTGCCTCCCCTAAATATTCTACTCACAAAAACTGCATTGCATCACTGTGGTAGGACATCCACCCTCCCTTGTCACTTCTCACCACTGGCTGTGAGTTTCAAGACATCTTGGTGACTTTGGCCACCTTCCAGCTATAGAAGCAGTTGGCCTGTGGCTTTTTTTCTCATGATCAGGCTGATAAACATACATAGTTAAGTCTCTTCTATACAACATATGGAATAAATGTAAGGTAAGAAGCTTGCTTTTTGAAAATAAAATAGCTTTTGAGGGTCATTCTCATCAGCAAATGTGACATTTGAGCCAGATTATCTGACGTAAAACTGACTGGCCAGGACAATTCCTGGCTCCCAGGGTCCTCTCACACCATTTTAAGTTCTTGCCCAGCACAAGGAAATGCACATTGGTGTTTTTGAAGTGGGAGAGATGGATCTGTCTGTTACCAATGACAATATCTTTTTGCTACAACAAATGAGTGTTGCTAAGGAAACTAAAAATGGCCATGGTCTTGCCTATCAGGAATCCTTATGTGGGCCCCATTACCAGCACAGCACTTAACTATCACACACTATTTGTCACTGAGGTCAGAAAGTGCATCACTGGGGATCCTGCTATGGAGCAGATATCTAAATTTCTGTGACATCAAAGGGGATTTAACTGCCTCAGTATAATTCCAAGATTGTTCTAATGCCTTATTTAAGCTAATGAGAGTCCAAGAGATCAAAATCTGCTCCTGCTTTTGCTGCCTGATTCTCTTCAGCACATTGGTCCCATCTGCACTGTAGCACCTCCTCTCATCATCTCTCTTTCATCAGATTGCCACTTTTAATCAGTAATTCCAGTGGTATTGTACTAGCAAGAAAATAACCTTCCTCCATTCAAAAGGATATGGAAGCTATCACTAATAACCTCCCAGAGTTATTAGTCCTGATCAGAAGTGCTGCCTGAGCTCAGTTAACACTTTTTGAATGACCTAGGGCACTGGTGACTCATGGCCAATATATTCTGTATCACAAAAATCACTGGGAGAACTCCCTGGGACACATTTTAAGTGATTTTGAATGTTTTTTAATAGAGGAGTGAGAGAGGGAAATGGAAGGCAGAGCAGAGAAGTTTTGTGAGAGGCAAGAGGAAGGAAAGACAACTGTGCAGCAGTCTATTGCTAAAAGAAATTTTCCTTAGCAGCTTCTTCTTGCAGCTTTAAGAATTAAATAGTTTTTTTTAACAATTCCTTTGTTTTTGTTTTATTTCTTACAGTCTGTGTGCGATTCTTCCCATGCTGTTCAGTGGACATCACAAAATTTCCAGGCAAAATTTGGTGGAGGCTGCGAAAGACCTGCTACAGAATCGTGGAGCACAACTGGTTTGAAACATTCATCATCTTCATGATCCTGCTGAGCAGTGGAGCCCTGGTAAATGTGACAGCATTTTCTAATTGGTTATAAGTGGACATGGGTCTCCAGTGTTGTCCAGTTTAGCTGTCTCTAAGATTTTATGAACCCTTAGTGGTCATTTCTCAAAGCAAAACATTTAATCTGGGGCTAAAACAGATTGTCAGCTTTTCTGATTTCACCTGCCATCACCATATGGTGGGGAATTTTCTTCTGCTGTGACATAAAATTCTGACTTGCACATGTTTTGAAAAGAAAATCCTTGAGGAAGTCTGTGTGAGGAAGTTTGCCAGCGCTGCTGCTTCAACATCCCATAGCTGCTTCTCCATGAGAGTTCCCATCTGGAGGCTTGCATTTTGCTTCAGGGGTGGCTTTGTTTGTTTTCCTTTTCTTCTCTCTTTTTTTGTTTTTCTTTTTTCTTCTTTAGCACATTCTGTAACCAGCAAATTAAAATTATAAAAGACACAGAGGGCAGGGAATCAGTGCTACCAATGGAGTTAGTGGGTGCCTGTATTCCTGTTTTGAATGCACATTAGGTTAACACCCAGTACCTTCCCTGCATAGGTCCTGTTTTTCCCAGGTGGATGTGTTTATGGACACTGGTTTGTAATTGCCCAGGACTCTGATAGGGAATCCTCTGCTCCTGAGATCCCACTGCATTCTGGAATTATCCTCTGTGCATTTTCAGCCCTGGGTTCTTCACAGGGATGTGTTTATATTTCTCTTTTGCATGTCAGGAATGCCCCTGGAATTGGTGGGGTTTCTCCCAGGTTTTTATCCTGACCTAGAACAGAGACATGTATCAAGATTTCTCCAGGTTTTAATCTGGTTATCTCCTTTGTGATGGAGTAAGACACACACTTATTAAATTTGCAGGCAGTGCCACGTTTGAACAGGTTATCCATGCATTTCCAGAGGTCAGGATTGACTCCAGCCAAGTGGGTGAATCTGCCTTAAGCAGTAAAACAAACATCATCTTAAAAAGCTGCCTGCTTCCCCTCACCAGGAATAATCACAATAGGAAGGTGTAAAGAAGCAGATTTAATAAAAAGAACTGGAGAGGGAGCAGGAAAAAAAAGAATAAACTCCATCACAGCCCTGCACAAAAGCCCACCACCCCACTGGGCGGTATAAATGATGCTGTTCTTCCACTCCAGTTGGCATCAAGGAGGCCTCAGCTGGAGCAGTGGCTTCAGCTCTGGGCGCTGCACTTTGGGAAAGACATGGGCTAATTGAAGAAACTCCAGAGAAGAGCAACACGAATTATCAGTGGCCTAAAAAAAGAGGAAAAAACACAGAAGTGCTGAGTTTATGTAGCTCAAAGAAAGTCTCTGAAGGGAGAGAGAAAGGTGGAAATACATAAATGTTGATGCAAAAAAGGAAAGAGATGGATTTACTGTTCTCCTGGTCCACCAGAGATGGGCTGAAATGTCACCCGGGGGTTTTATTTTATTATGAAAAATAAGAGGCTGAAAAACTTGGGTAAATAGTAGGCTTCTGAAAATTGTCACAGCTTTGCTGAAATGAATGGACTCTGACAGTTTTTGCACCAGCTTGAGCATCAGCATGTTAATTTCTGAATACATTTTAGAGGGGGAATGTCGCTTGCTGTAATATGCTTTAGATGAATACACTTCCTTACATATGTAATTAAAAGTGCCTTGGATAACTGAAGACTGCAATATAAAGCTCATTTAATTTAAATTGCATGCATTCATTTAGTTTTTGCAGCTTTCAATTTAGCCAATGCAGTTCTGTATAAGGGCAAATTATCCTGCATTTTCTCACATATCAGCACCGTGCTTCAGTATTTGGACTGGAGATGTTGGAGGCAACACACAAAATTTTTTTTCCTCGTGTTCTGGGTTGCTCTCTTCCAAAAACTGAGCTCATCTGGCTGCATCTCTGGGACACCCTAATTTCTTAAGGGAGAACAGCTATATATACCTTTAAACCAATAAATATATGTATGTGGTTAAATCATCAAAATATATCTTCAGCTTACTGCAGAAGATCCAAAAACCTTTCTTAAGATTTTAAGCCATAAGCACCCAAATTGGAAGCCTACTTTTTAATAGTAATTTTGGATAACACTGCAGGTATCCTGCTTAAATCTTTTTTAACACACAAAGCAAAGCAGAAAAAAAAAACAAAAAACCCTTCTTGATATTTTATAGGGCAGAGGTTTCATTCGTTGTCACCATGAAAAAATGCAAAGCACCAGAATTTTGTCATTTGGGTAATATCCATAGCTTGTCCAGAAGTACAGAAGTGTCCAGGTAGCACATTTTTCATCCCTTAATAAGCTGCTTCCTGACTGACAGTGTGCTTCCAGTAGACAAAACACAATGTACTTTTGGACAAGTTAGTAGAAAGTAGGGAGAGCAAAGGAGGGAGAGGAGGTAATCACTTTAAATGGTTTGTTGTTATTTTTGCAGTAATTGCAAAGTACAGCAAGTCATCTGACAAAGTGAGCGAGCCCCTATGAGAAGTGATAAACTCCAATCTGTGCATTGTTTTCAGGCTTTCTCCAACAGCTCTTTCACACCCTTGAAATATCATTTTTGAAGGCAAGATAGGAGACAGGGTTGCAGCGAAAACGTCACCCCAAAGTGTGGGGACAAATGGACAAGCTTTGGCACGGGCTGCCAAAGCTTTCTTGTCACTTTAATTACTGTTCCCTGGCAGGCAAAAGAGCAGTGTGACTGCCTGAGTGACAAGTACCACACTTCTTGTATCTCCAGGCACTGGGTGTTTGCTAACTTTTTGAAGCTTCTCAGAAAGTAGCTACAGATCTGGAAATATGTAAATGCAGATAATTCAGACGATTAGCACAGACCCTCTCAAATTATGTTTCTTGCTGCCAAGTGCTCTGAGTCACACGATGGGATGAGAGTAATATGTCACAGCTTGGGTTATCCAGGTTACAGGGGCTTGGGAGCAGCTTGTGTAACAGCAAAAGTAGCTGGGGAAGCAGAGCATAATTTGACTTAGAAGCCCCAAAACTGGCTGCATATTGGCAAACCTGACACCAGGATCCTGCCTTTTATTTGATGTATGTTGTAAAGTGCAGGCTAAATTATGAGGCATCTTTATTTTCTTTCTTTTGGGGGGCATATTGGTTTAGATCTTAAATATTTTAAAGGGGTTATTCAGTTGCTCGCATTTGATACAGACACTGAAACTCTTTTCATAATGCTCTGCATGAGATTAGTTGGAGAGACAGATGAGATGGGGAGATAGATACCTTGACCTTTAAAACATTATTGTTCTGCTAAGTGAATAATAATGAGCATTTCTTGAGGCAGAGAGCTGTGGCCACCTGAAATGTGATGGCTGAACAGAAGCCAGGGAACTCCAGTACTCCATAACACAGGCAGGTTAATAACCCAATTTGTCATCATTAGCAATAAGATCTATTTGGCTAAATGCAAGGGTCATATTCTGCCTCCTAAATATAGACATCCTGTGCCCTGGGACATCTGAGGTGACTGGGCAGCATTGGCACAGCCAACAGGAGATGAGGCAGGATAAATCTGGGCGTTTTGGGGTGGCACTCTGCTCATGGGTTCACATTCCAAATTCAGGGTGCAGAAGCTTTTCCTACACTTAAAGAGTGTCCAGCCAGTACAGCCAGGAGAGCCTGGAGAGAGACAGCCAAGCCTGTGTCCATTGTAGGGGAAAGCTGAACAGAACTCTCAGGTCAGGGCCAGTTCTGTTTGTGCCTGAACACTCTTTTTAATTGTGATGTTAAAATACATCCGAAATCACAGACTGTACGTGATAATTTATCAAATACAGACCTGCAGTGCAACACCCATGCTTTCCTACAGGGCTCAGGAGCAGTTATTAACCAATCCTTTGTACTTCCAGGCCTTTGAAGATATTTACCTTGAAGATCGAAAAAACATAAAAACCATGCTGGAATATGCTGACAAAGTATTCACTTACATCTTTGTCCTGGAGATGCTCCTGAAGTGGGTGGCTTATGGCTTCAAGAAGTATTTCACCAATGCCTGGTGCTGGCTGGATTTCCTCATTGTAGATGTGAGTATCATTTTGGAACTACATTTCTCATGTTGGATTTTGCAGTGGGTGGGAAAGCGCTGTAAAGTTTGGCAGCTTTGCATCTGTGAGATGACAGCTGTCACTCTGATTCTGGGCATCAACCCTAGGCAGAGCTCAAAGGAGGTTTGGATGTGTAACTGAGCATCCCCAGGACCCAAAGCAAACAGGAACACTGTCAGTGGTGACGTGGATGTGTCACCCTGCTAATCTGTGGCACATTCATCCCCTTCCCATCCCCAGGAATTCTCCATTTCCTTCAGCATTTAACATCTCATTCTATTGCTGGCCATGGGTTTATGCACAAATCCACAAATGAGATGGGACTGCTGAGGAGCTGCTGTTTATTTTCCAGCATCAGCCTCATTACATGGTTATGACAATGGGAAGTTGCCACCAGCTCACATCTCTGCTGCAGACAAAGAACTTAATGTTACAACTTACTTTGTAAGTTTTTTCACTAATCACACAAAGCAAAAGCACATTGACAGTAGATTTATCCAACCACTATAAGCACACAAACCTTTGGTTAAAAGAATTCTTGCTTATTTCAAATAAAATACCCGCTTGTCAGTCTTAAAACACAATGCACAGAGCTCCATTATTAAGCTTAGAACTTCCTAATATCTTGCTAGATATATTTTTCTGTAATTTAGGGAGTTATTCTAGACAAGTGTTAATACACAAATCATTGTTCTATTTGTCCTTACTTTCTACATCTCATATAACTTTTATAGCTGTAATTGCAGTTATGATGTTTCTGAGGCCTGCCTTTTGCAGCTTTCCCAAAACCCTCTGATTTTAAGGATTTCCCCGCTTCATACAACTAAAAAGAACTTTCATAACCATGTAGTTTATTAACTACCTTGAGTTTCATAGCTTTAATATAGTCTGTTTATTACTCACTTAAAGGTTCTTTTTTTGCTGTAGAGAGATGAGCTTACTTTTAAGGATTAATTGCACCATTTTTTGCCACATTAAATGGCATTTAAGGATTCCCACATTCCACACTCCCAGCCAGCACAGGGTCCAGCTACCTCAGCCTGCTGTGCACATGACCTGGGCACAATCTGCAGTTTTGAGCAGATTAGAGGAGCTGTCCCTGGCCGAGCTCCTGGCCAGCAGTGTGTAACAGCATGTTCAGTTCTGGCTCCCAAATATTTACCAGTGCAGGAGTCCAGGAGAAGGTGTGAAAAGTCCTCTTGGCAAAGCGTCTTCACTACTACAAAACGTCACTAAATACTCCAAATCCGTGAAATATCGCCACGCTTATTTCTACTGATTTAAGGATAATCCTCAGTGGTCTGAACAAAAGGAAGCTCATGCCCCAGGAGTGTTGCTAGTACCAGATTTGGCTCCTCCAAAGATTCACTTTGAATTGATGTGGGACTTGCCAAATCTGGGAAAAGTCAGCAGCATCACGTCCTCCAGATGAAGTCTAACATTTCATCTCAGCGTATCAATGAGGAGGCAACAATCTCCCTGAGGCCACTTCTTGTTAGCTTCAGGTATTAATGTGGGAGGCTGGCAGAGCTTTGCCACGGTTATGTAATTTATTAAACTTCAGAGAAATTATTTTTCCCCATTTTACATCTGAACCTTGACTCCAGGGAAGAGCTGCACTTTCTTTGGCCCCAGCCCAGGAGAGCACTTCAATGGGACAATTTGCTTGTTTGAAGTTATGGTCATGTTTAAGTGCACTGCTGGATCAGAGCCTTTGGAAGCTTCTCCAGAGCTTTAATAAATTGATTTATGAAAAGGAAATTCTTTACATAAATTGTAGGCCATAAATTCCTCTTTGCATATATGCTTAGAAACCTTTTAAAGGGAATGCACTCATTTTTCTCAGATTAGCTCCAGCAGGAGAGGAAGGCCTGGTTTAATTATTTAACCACAAAATTGGAATCTACCTGTTCCTAAGTTATAGCCCAGCTCTGAAAACTGTTCTTACTGTGATTTAGGTGACATAGCTTTTCTTTTCTTGTTCCTCCAACTCCAAAATGGGACTAATAGGACTCACCTAAAGTACTGGATGGGCTTCCAGGAATTTTTTGTTCAGTGGGCTTCTGAAGACTGGAAAGAATGGATGAGGAATGAATATTGGCACAACCATAAGCAGAGATCTTCCTGATGGGAGCAACCCTGTGCAGGATCAATTCACTGAGGCAGTTTGGAACTCTGTTGGAGTTTGAAATTAGTTACACAGCTGTAGAATAACATCTCATTAACACCAAAGAGAGTAAACCACAAACTAAGCTAAATTCTGTCCTCCATGTGCAAACCCCCTTGGAACAGGAGCCACACAAGAACACAAAGTTCAAATGTAAATTAGGTGCATGTTTGCCCTTTAATGGTGGAGTTTATAAAGACAGATTGGCAAAGCAGCCACAGATGGCCTGGGAAAGGGGCTTCACCATCCCCTCTCACACATCCTATGGCATAAAACAGGGGGGACACCAGCCCTGGGACTCCCCTTGTCCCCAGAAAATAAACCCCAGAGCCTTCTTAGTGACCCAGAATGTTTTATTATCTCAACCCACATTTAAATGTTCCACCTACATTTAAATGTCCATTTTGCAAGCTCCCAGTCAAACCAAAAAGTTGTTCTACCTTTGAGTTGTTTTGGTTGTTGATTGACTCGAGGCCATCACTTCTTCTTTAGGGTTCTCAGTGAATAAATCGTTTCCCCCTGCACTATTCTTTTCTTAAAAAATATTTTCCCAGTGCAGATTATGAGAACCTGGTGTTATATTTTTAGCAGGTTTAACAGATGCTTTTCTCCTACCCTATTGCTAACCCTGCCACTCTGAATTGGCACAGTAATATCCTATAATTTTTCCAGCACACTTTTTATTTCAATTTACATTTTCTTTTTGGTGCTTTGAGAACCAAATCACTGCAACTGAGCTGCAGAAGGCAGTGAATGGGTGAATTAGCTGCTCCAAAAGAAGCAGATGAACCACTTGTCTGATTTTCTCAAATTTATTTGTTTAAAATTATTCACTTAAAAATTCCTGATCTGCAAATTATTCATTAGTGGTTTGGTATCAGTATTCAAAATTCAAGCTGCAGTGGTCGATTTTTGATTGGACATGTGAAACCATCTCTCATCTGCGTTTTCTCATTGTACAAATGCAACTCTGAATCTATTTTCTGCTTTGAATAATTCATAAAACTGGCTCAAAATTTGCATGTATTCACTATTTCTAAATGGGATTTGAACCCAGAGGGGTTATAAGCATATTGCTGCTGATTTTTTTTTTTTTTTCTATATCATGCCTTGTGAAGGACCTTTGACACTGATTTGGGCCAGTGGAACAGCAGAGTCTCCATGTGACTGTTGTGGATTATTAAAGAAAACTCTGTTTTGCAATGCCTAAACATCAAAATACAGAGTAATCCACAAACTGAGCTATTTTTGCTGGATGTAGAATCCCTAAAGGATGATCTCTGGTAATGGGCTTCTCAGCATCTCAAAGAAGAGTGCTAGGGTATCAGAGAGGGCTTTCACATACATTGCAATACAATAATGCCCTGTCAACAGCCCTGCTACAGATTTCTCTGGGAGGAAAGAGAAAGGGTTAATCAAACCACAAAATATAGGCTCATTTTAGCTCAGGACACCTGGGGAAGATGCTTCAGATGTCTGCTGCAAGTTGGGCATACTGAACAAACAATATCAGTGTACATCCATACAAGTTACCCTGTGAAAAAGAAATGTCATGCTAAAAGTAATACCCTTCTACACTGCAAATATCAGCTCTCTGTGCTCATGAACTGCAGTGGTGAGCCCTCAATCCACAGCTCTTTCCACACGAGGAAAAGGCAGATTGTGAACTATCTGTGCAGACAGATAGAAGTGCAGACAGACATCAACATCACCATCAGGAATGGCATTTATGCACAACCCTCTTTCCTAGGATGCATGGGCAAGTATTTCCACAAAGAACAGATATTTTCCAAGCATCCATGCAATCAAAACCTCTTTGAAAAATGCAGATTAAGTGAGGAGCCTGAACTTGGCCAGGGCTGGAGACAAGTGGCACCCAAAGTGTTTGTGGGAACTGCTCTCCACCAAGCCAAGCAGACAGAACTGGGCTTTGAAACAAGGAGCAGAGAGATTCCACCAGCTGTGCAGGCTGGTGTCATGCCTGATGTTCCTTTCAATTGTTTCCTCTGACCTATAAATATTATCTTGAGCTTATCTAGCTTGAGCTCCAGCCAATTAATTCCGAGCTCTGTCCCAGTCTCTGCTGACAGCGGGTGGATTATTCCATTGCATGGTCAGTTTGGGAAAGACATCAGTGTGGGCTTAGCATAATTTAGAGTCAGGAGGTGTTGCAGTCAACAGCTTCTTCACTCGCTGCTCGTGCACTGGAGGCAGAGGTGAGAGGCTGGAACCCCACAGAAGCTGTCACAGAAAGCTCATGGGACAGAGGTGTGAACTCCCAACTCATTAGTGAGAACGCTCAGGAAAAAATGTCACAGCCAAGTTTCATTGCCTGTGGCATTCACAGAGAAATCCTCTTAAACCTGGACTAATGTCATCGCCCCACAAAAGTCCATTGTCACAAATCCATCATCTCCATTGCAGCTTTTGTGTTCAGTTTAATTGACCAAATTGGTCTCAATCCAGGTTTACAAAAACCCAGCCAGATTGTCCTGCTCTGATTTCAGAGATGAAGGTTTCTCCACCAATTCTTTCTAGGATTATCCTGTCTTTCAAGTCTTCTCATGCAGAGAAAATTTTTTTCTTAAACAATTTCTTTGTTAGGGATGCTGGCAGCCTCCCTCCCCTCCAACCATCTTCAGCAATGGGTGATCCTTGCACTGTGTTCTGCAGCAGGGAGGGGAGAGCATCTCTAATTCTCAGTTTGTGCCCTGATGCCCCACTGGTTTCTCTTGACCAGGGATGAAAATTGCTCTTTCCACCCCTTTTCCATCTCCTCTGCCTTGGAGGGAGGGGCTCACAAGAGTTTTGA